CAGTGCTAATTTCATAACTCAGCCTGGGGAGTTTATGTGGAATGCACCCTGAAAGAAAAAACGTTTTCCATATATTGTAGTACCACTCATGCAATATTGCCATATAAATTATGTTTTGACACAGATTTTCATAAAACATGATTCACATGTACAACATATAGAAATTATACCCATCAATAGTACATCTTTTTATGGAAAGTGGGTATAGTCACATAAGTAAGGTTTTTATGGGTCAATTCATTAAAAGTGTCAATTTTAGAGCATTATTTACAGACTACTTTAAGACTCAATTTTCAATTTCCCCTTTTTCATATCAGGTGAGAAATATAGGAGAACTTCCTGACAATATTTTCTTTTAATAACTTAAATATGTCCCTTATGACAATTTTAAGCATCTTAAATTATTCAGAGCACAAAATTTATTTTCTCATTGAGGAGGGTAAACTTTTCAACAAATGTTGAAGTAACTGAAAATCTATAGGCAAAATAAATAAATAAATAAAAATAAACATGTCTTAAAACATAACACCTTAAAATTTTAAAACCAAATGGATTATAGAGTTAAATATAAAACCATGATACTTTTGTAAAAAATAAAGGAACATGTCTTCAAGATCTAAGACTTGGCAAGACATAAAGCATTATTTATAAAAGGAAAACTGATAAATTTAACATTCTTGCTCTTTGAAATATCTGTGTTCTAACAATATGTCTGACCCACTACTCTCCTGTCACTTTATCATACTCTGGTGGCTTGTGTGTTGCTATGAGGCTAGAGGCTATGCCACCGGTATGTCAAATACTGGCAAGGTCATCCATGGTGGACAGGATTCAGCTGCGCTTCCAGGCTAAGAGAGAATGGGAAGAAGAAAGGGGCCATCCACTTCTCAAAAACTGACCAGTGAAAATGATATGAATAGCAGTGAAACACTGTTTGATATATTACTGGAAAACTTTATGAATAGCCCTGAAATATGGTCTGGAAAGTGGCAGAAGATGAGTTCCTCAGGTTGGAGGACACTCAAAATACTACCTGGGAAGGGCTGTCTCCTCAAAGTAGAGTTGATCTTAATGATGTAGATGGAGTAACACTTTGGGGAACTCCATTTGCTAATGGGGTACAACTCAAAATGGGAAGAAGCAGCTGCAAACACCCATTAATAGTCAGAATATGGAATGTATAGAGTATGAATGTAGGAAAATTGGAAGTTGTCCAAAATGAAATGGAATGCATAAAGATCAATATCCTAAGCATTAGTGAGCTGAAATGGACTGGTATTAGCTGTTTTGAATCAAACATATGAACTACTATGCCAGGAATGACAAATTTAAGAGGAATGGTGTCATATTCATTGTCAAAAATGTTTCAAGACCTATCCTGAAATACAAGGCTATCAGTGATAGGATAAGATCCATATGCCTAAAAGTTAGTACTAACATTATCCAAATTTATGCATCAAACACTAAAGCCAAAGATGAAGAAATTGAAGATTTTTACCAAATTCTGCAGCCTGAAATTAACCGGACATACTTGATTACTGGTGATTGAAGTGTAAGTGTTGCAAAGAAATAAGAATCATCAGTAGTTGGAAAATATGTCCTTAGTGATAGAAATGATGCTGAAGATCAGAAGAAACTCTTAAGTTTGCTCTTGAATGGAGAGTAGCTAAATGGAAGAAATGATGAGATAAATGATCTGAAAGAAGATTTCAAAAGGCAGCTTGGGAAGAAAAAGTGAAGTATTGTCATGAAATATGCAAGTACCTGGAGTTAGAAAACTAAAAGGGAAGAGCACATAAGTGTTTTCTCAAGTTGAAAGAACTGAAGAAAAAAATTCAAGCTTTAAGCAAAATATTGAAAAATGCAGGAAGCATCACAAGAAGAAGGAAGGAATACACAAAGTCACTGTAGCAAAAAGAATTGGTCAATGTTCAGCTCTTTCAGGAGATAGCATATGATCAAGAAACAGTTGTACTGAAGGAAGAAGTCAAAGTTGCACTGAAGGAATTGGCAAAAACAAAGCTCTAGGAATTGATGGAATACCCATTGAAATGTTTCAAGAAATGGATGCAGCGCTCCAGGCTCTTACTCATTTATGCCAAGAAATTTGCAAGACAACTTCCTGGCCAACTGCTTGAAGAGATCCATATTTGTACCCATTCCAAAGAAAAGTTATCCAGCAGAATGTGGAAATTATTGAACAATATTATTAATATTACACATAAGTAAAATTTTGCTGAAGATAATTCAAACACCGTTGCAGCAACATATATTTACAGGAAACTTCCAGAAATTCAAGCCAGTTCAGAAGAGGATGTAGAACAATGGATATCATTGCTGATGTCAGATGGATCTTGGCTGAAAGCAAATAATACCAAAAAGATGTTTACCTGTGTTTTATTGACTATGCAAAGGCATTTGACTCTGTGGATAATAACAAATTATGGATAACTTTGAGAAGAATGGGATTTCCAGAACACTTAATTGTACTAATAAGAGAGTTGTACATAAACCAAGAGGCTGCAATTGGAACAGCACAAGAGGATACTGCATGGTTCAAAATCAGGAAGGGTGTGTGTCAGGGTTGTATCCTTTCACCACACATATTCAATCTGCTTGCTGAGCAAATAATCTGAGAAAATAAACTATATGAAGAAGAACGTGGCATCAGGACTGGAGGAAACTTGTCAACAATCTGCAATATATGCAGATGACATAACCCGGCTGGCTGAAAATGAAGATGTTTTTAAGCACTTACTGATGAAGAGAAAAGACTACAGTCTTCAGTATGGATTACACCTCAACATAAATAAAGCAAAAATCATCACAACTGCACTAATAAACAACATCATGATAAATGGAGAAAAGATGGAAGTTGCCGAGGATTTCATATTATTTGGATTCACAACCAATACCCAAGGAAGCAGCAGTAAAGAAATCAGACATCATTTTGTACTGGGAAAATCTGCTGAAAAGACCTTTTTTAAGTGTAAAAGAGAAAAGATGTCTCTTTGAAGACTGTGGTGGGCCTAACCCAAGCCACGGTATTTCAATTGCCTCATGTTTATGAAAGATGGACAGGGAATAAGGAAGACTGAAGAAGAGTTGATGCCTTTGAATTATGGTGTTGGTGAAGAATAATGCAAACACCACAGAACTACCAGAAGAACAAACAAATTTGTTCTGGAAGAAATACAGCCATAATCCTCCTTGGACATGAGAATGGCCAGACTTTGCACCTATTTTGGTCATCTGGTCAGAAGCAACCATTTCCTGGAGTAAGATAACATGCTTGGTAAAGCAGAGGGCCAGAGACCCTCAGAAGATAGATTGACACAGTGGCTGCAATGATGGGCTCAAGTACAGCAAGGACTGTGAGATGGCTCAAGACTGGGCAGTGTTTTGTTCTGTTGTATACAGGGTCACAGTGAGTTGACTCAAGGGCACATAACAATAAAAAAAACAAATGTCTGACAATGGACAAGTATATAGAATATATAAAGAATATTAAAACTCAAGAGCAAAAAATCAAACAAAATAATATCAAATAGACAAAGTAAATGAACAGATATTTCACCATAAAGGATATATATATATATATAAGGAGCTCTGGTAGCATAGTGGCTAAAGCACTTGACTGCTAACCAGAGGGCTGGCAGTTCATATCCACCGGCCACTCCTCGGAAGGAAGGTTGGGCAATCCTACTTCCGTAGTGATACTGCCTCGGAAACC